TAGACAGCATATATAACATGAGAGGGGCTCAGTGTCTCCCCAGTCATTGTATACAGGATATATAACATTATAGGGGCTCAGTGTCTCCCCAGTCATTGTATACAGGATATATAACATTAGAGGGGCTCAGTGTCTCCCCAGTCATTGTATACAGGATATATAACATTATAGGGGCTCAGTGTCTCCCCAGTCATTGTATACAGGATATATAACATTAGAGGGGCTCAGTGTCTCCCCAGTCATTGTATACAGGATATATAACATTAGAGGGGCTCAGTGTCTCCCCAGTCATTGTATACAGGATATATAGGGGCTCAGTGTCTCCTCATTCAGTGTATACAGGATATATAACATCAGAGGGTCTCAGTGTCCCCCCAGTCAGTGCATACAGGACATAGCTCACCTTCAGCTCACAATACCGGACATCAGGAGGTCTCGATCACCTGCCAACTCCTGTAGACTCCTCGAGCTGAGTTGGGCCGCCGGTTGCCATGGCGACGCGTTGTTTGGGTAGCGGAGGGCGGCCTGTTTTCCTCCTAGCAGTAGAACCCACAGACCGACAGCGGCGTGTCTCTTTAATGAGGAGAGCAGCGGCGGCGGCTCGGTACGGGCAGAACGGTGCACGCCGTGGTAATAAACGGGAAGAAGCCGCGCAGTTACCGGGCAATGGGCGCCGCCATCATGCAGAAGACTGCGCGTCAACTGACTGACAGCCGGGGGGTAGGGAGTAAGTGACATCACGATCACATGACCCAGCAATGAAGGAGGAAGTGGCATTCCGTTTCCGTGTCTCGTAGTGTGCTCTGCATTAAAATGACCGGTAGTGTCATCTGACACGAATGCAGGTCACGTGGTGGGTATTTTATTTTCCTCGTGGCTGGAATTTTATGGGGGTGGAGCTCCGACCGTTCCTTCTCCCTGGGCTCTTCTGTGTGGTCACAGCAATGCAGACCCCTAAATAAAATCTCATACCTTCCAACATTAAGACATGAGAGAGATTCATACAAAGGAAGAAGAGCATGCTGTGCCAAAGAGGTGGTGTGACCATAGTGTGGTAAACAAGAGCTGTGGATTAAAGTTAGGCTTTTGTGCCTCCTGGCCTTTTGGCTAAGATCAAGTGTACTATCTGTTCTTATCAGTAATCATTCCAGGGGGATGATTGCCTACTATTCCTTGGAGTAATAGGAGGGTTTCTGGATAGGTTTGCCACCTTTTCTTTCAGCGAAACCCGAACACTCTAGTGAGGCACGGACATATTTTTGAGAGAATTAGTCGTGGCTTATTCATGTGTAAATAGCGCACCCCATTCATATGTAAATATCACAGTCAAGACTATTTTCAGTGGGGGGGGGCAGTAACCCAAAGTAGGTGACAGGTGGCAACCCTAGTACTGGAGGGGTTTGACTCTGGCCTGGTGTACCAACAGGGCTGGATTACCCACTAGGCAACATAGAAAATCTACCTACAGGCGCCCTCCACACAGGGACGCCACCTGTCTATAATATATATATATCCTTCAATGTCGTGATAGGTGTGCGATCATTAATGAGTACAGATGCTGCCCAGAGGAGTCCGCCTGATCTCCAGGCTAGGAAATCCACTGGTGTCACACCATGAGTACGACAAAGTCCAAAAATGTCACCAGCACACATTTAAACATGAAGCAAATACAATTTAATGACACATGTATGTTATTCAAGTACAAACATTTTCGGGGCCTCTTCATCAGGCTCAGAATGACTAGTTGACTACTCGCATGTGACACCATGAAAAGCGGCACCAGGATGTCCCCACCCACCGCCCGTATCTGGCCCTGGACAGCCACGGCACCAGCCACTTCAACTCCACCCTGTGTGGGTTCTGGAGGAAATGCCACAGGAAGGGCTTTCGACAAGGACACTGAGAAGCTGATCCTATAGCCTGTGGAAGCTAGACGGTAGGAGAATAGGGCCTCACGTGCGGGGGCATTGGGGGCTACACCACAGGAGAGGGGCTGAACGGTGCAAGTAGCTGGTATTGCCTAGGGTGCAAAATGGTCTAGCACCGGCCCTGGTTATTCTACTGTGCCTCTGCTTTCAGAAAATATATGTGTGTTTGGGGGGTTTTAAACTATTTGCGAGGCACAAATTCAGATTTTAACGTGTATAAAAATAAAAAAAATTGTTTCCAGGCACGAAGTGGTTAAACTGTCTCAAAGTTTTAGGAGGAGTGTTGCTGGAGAATAGAGTCTGGAGGGGGGTAAGGGGAGGGGGCTGGATCAGAGAAAATGTGAGTTTTGCAGCGAAAGAGCTTGGCAAAATATATTTTTTACATTAGTAAAGCAAGAGTTGGGACTTGCCTTTGCAGATGATCTGCTTGTGTCACATCTAATCACACTCCGAATTAGATTCTGATATGGATGTATTTTTAAAAAGAAATGTCCATGACATATACTGTATATGAAGGTGATCAGATAAATGTAACTAATCTTGTGTAATGCTGGGCACACACCTTACAACCATCGCAAGACTTTTGTGTGGGGGGGATGACAGCCGCCGATAGACAGGCCTGATCTCAGAAGCAAGTTGCTGGAAGACTGCTCGGGTAAGCCTGCACTTTCCCATACATGGTGCTCCATAATGTATTGCTGGGATTTGTATTCCTCGATAGCTGATGGTACATTGTGCTGTATATTATACCATCAGCTATATAGAGGACTACAAATCCCAGGAATACATTATACACTGTATGTATAATGTATTGCTGGGATTTGTTGTATTCCTCTATAGCTGGTGGTATTCTGCATTGCGCTGTATAGAGGACTACAAATCCCAGCAATAATACATTATACAGCGCAATGCGGAATACCACAAGCTATAGAGGAGTACAACAAATCCCAGCAATAATACATTATGCAGTGGTGCAATGCTGAATACCACTAGCTATAGAGGACTACAAAACCCAGCAATAGTATATTATACAGTGCAATTAAGAATACCACCAGC